GCGAACCATTGTACCTCGTTTTAATGCACAATTTACTCTAAGTTCGCGGCTGAAAACTACTCTTAATTTCTTTAATATAGCTAGAGAATTACGAATGCTATTTTTCTCATTGGAAGAATTTATGACCACCAAGATGCACCAACAGTAGTAGATTTGCTTCATGAACTTCCTGTAATTGTTTGGAAAAATCTAAACGAATTTGAGAGAATTCAATGCGTGATTTTCTAATACGTGCATGCAACTATTAATTGCCGATACGGTCTGTATTAGTCAAAAGATGGATGGCATGTCAGTTTCTTGCAAGGAAGAGTGGGAGCATCCCTAACAGGGAATTGACTGCGTCCGACAATGTACTCGTCGAATCGGCCTAAGTTGGATAATAACCATGTCAAAGCGAAGAAAAAGGTCAGGCTTTCACACTCAAACCTTCATCACTTGAGCGAAGAAAAAGATCAAGCTTTCAAATAGACCTTCACCACTTGCTTTGTAATTTTTCGATATGTGCTTCGCTTCTGTTTGTGCCTGTTTCGGACATCTGATATTGACCACTTGGTCCCGTCTCTAAAACCCTTAATGCTAATAAACGAAGCTAAGGCTACGTTCGTTTTGCGAACAATATTACATTTCTGGAAAATATTTTCCAGGAAGTCATGTTGTTGGAAAATGACACAATTTTCCGGTGTTCAACTGAAATTTGAAAAGTTTTGGAAAATAATTTCCATTGTTTGGTATGGAAAAATTTTTCTTCCTTGCACTACTTTTAATCATTTTTTATTTTTATTTTTTAAAAATATTATTATTTTTTTCTTTTTCTTTTTCTTTTTTTTTTCCTTCTTCTTCTTCCTCAGCCGGTCGCCGGCCAGGTCGAGCCTTGCCACAGGCCGACGAGCCTGTGGCGAGGCTCGACCGGCTGAGGAAGAAGAAGAAGAAGGAAAAAAAAAAAAGAAAAAAAATGAATGGTGAAAGAAGGAGAGGGGGAAATGTTTTCCTCTTCTCAAAAAGAGGAAGTCATTTTCCTCAAAAGTGAAGGTGTTTTGCTCATGGGGAGGAAAATATTTTCCGTGGGAAGTTATTTTCCTTGAAACGAACACTGGAAAACCTGGAAAACATTTTCTCGGAAATTATTTTCCGCAAAACGAGCGGAGCCTAAGTTCCAGAATTCTTTTAACGTTAGACAAATTAAATGTAACACGGCGCTCTCATTATTTCTAAGACGAGTGATCGTGTAGAGAACGGCAAGAGAACTGGTCAGTATTCCATTAATGTTCTTGCCTATATTCCTACGTATAGTTGGGGGTCAAAAGATAAATCATCATGCAAGGGGAAGACTAAGAATGTTTAATTTCCTAAAACACGATCTTTCGATCATCAAAACACCAGGTTGCCGATGCCCATATTTGTAACCGACTAATTAGAAATGTAATTCAAAGAATCTTCCTCCAATTGCGGATGAAGGAAAATATAGCCTTTCTTCCCTTAAAAGCATTTCTAGCCGGATGGTCTTGTTTTTCTCCATTTTTTTCTCCTTTTCTTAATGGTCCTTTACTTTAATGATGACCAAAAAGAAGTCTAGCAAAGGGAATAAAAAATCGACCAAACAGAAAAGAACACTCCATTTTCCTGATTGTATGTTAGAACCGCACTTCGAGGGTACGGAATCCACATAGAAAAAGATTGTTGCGGTGATTTTCATCGCTCTAATCATTCAAAAGAGAATGGGTTAATATCACGAAAAATTTTTAATTAATATATTTATGATAATTTTATTTTGAATTAATTTTTAGATCATAAAAAATTTTAAATTAGTACATATGTGATAAATTTATCCCAAATTAATTTTTTGATCACAAAAAATTCTAAATTAATATGTAATAATTTTGCCCCAAACTAATTTTTTGACCAACAAAAATCTCAAACCGGTACACCAATGATAAATTTACCCTGAACTAATTTTTTGACCACCAAAAATCCTAAACCGGTACACTTGTGACAAATGTATCCATTCGTTAAATTAGATTAATATCACGAAAAATTAAAAATTCGTAAACTTGTGACAAATAGAGGGTAAAACCTCAAACTAGTACACCCGTCAACTACCACGTGTCATCAAACTCAGCAATTTGACAGTAAAATTTAACGGAAATTAATATAGGGTAAATTTGTCGTAGGTATACTAGTTTGGGATTTTTTATGGTCAAAAAACTTATTTGGGATAAAATTGTCACAGGTGTACCAGTTTGGGATTTTTTATGGTCAAAAAATTAGTTTGGGGTAAAATTGTTACAAGTATACTAGTTTGAGTTTTTTGTGATTAAAAAATTAGTTTAGGGTAAATTTGTCACAAGTGTACCAGGTTGAAATTTTTCGTGATATTAACCCAAAGAGAATTGGTTCAGGTGATCGGTTGAGTGGTGGATAAAAGTGTGGTTATTTTCATATCTTATATCATTAAAATATAGTGAGAATGACATGCCATGCTATATGGTGTTGAAGATGTGTTTAAAAATAAAAGACCAAAAATATAATTATTATGTACTTTAGGCCAAAAATAAATGGCCCCAGGCAAGTGGAAAAAAAACAAGAAAAGAAAAAAGAAAAGAAGAAAAAAAATAAGAAAAGGTAAAGGAAAATAATAATAATAATAATAATAATAATAATAAATCCATAAAAAAATTAAAAATTATAAAAAAAATGTCAATGTCAGCGTCAGTCGTGCCTCATAGGATGATCGATGTTGACCAGACCGCCACGTCAGTGATTTTCGACCAAAATTAGTTGGAATGACTAAATTGGCAAATCGTCAAAATGTTACGATTAAATTGGCAAATTGTTTAAAAGTTTAGGAGTAAATTGGCACAATTGAAAAGTTTAGGACTAAATTGATAAATCATCAAAATGTTTAGTATTGAATTGGCCAAATTAAAATATTTAGGATTGAATTAGTACAAGTGCAATAGATTTAAGACTTTTTTTATAATTTTCCCGTATGTTAAAACTTCACTTCGAGGACAAAGAATCCACTTAGTTTAGGATATTGTGGTGATTTTCATCTCTCTAATCATTCAAACAAAATTGGTTCAAGTGATGGGTTCAATTGTGGACTTGAGTTTAGTAATTTTCATCTTTCATATCATTAAAATATAAAAAAATGTCATGCCGCGTTATACAGTGTTGAAAATATGTTTGGATAGTAAGTCAACCAAAAAGATAATTATTGTGTATTTTAGAATAGCTTTAGTGTTGGGAAAATCTCTTAATAGATTTTGAAGTTGACAAAACTATTCATAAGTGTTTTGTAAGTCTGATAAATGCTTTTGAATTATTTTAATTCAGGAAGTTATACTTTGAAGATAGCAAACCTTTTGCTTCAAAAAGTTCAGACTTCATATATGACAGAAGGAGAAGTACTTTGGTTATATAGGCAACCAGATTGATTCAGATTTTATCACTCAAGAGCTACTAAATCCTATTTATACAAATCTATCCAACTCGAAGATTGGAAGATGATCCTCTGAATACTGTCCAACGGCTAGATTGGAAGTGGAGAAGTACAAAAGGAGACTAAGTACTGAGGAGCAAAAGATGAGACGAAATCCACAATCTACAATTCCAAAGTCTGAGCATACTTCAACAGTTACTACTTGTCTTTCATGAGCTAAAATCAGTGATCTTGAGAGAATATTGTTAGAGCGATTAAGTGAGATAGAGTGACCTACCTTTCATAGAGGACTAGTACTTAAAATCCGTAATCTCTTCTTTAATCATCTAGTGAAATCCAACCAGTAGGCAATCGGCGTTGAGGGTGGACGTAGGGTTGATCTAAGCCAAACTACTATACGTCTTGTGTGCAATTTTTCTCATCTCTTAAAGCCCTTTTCATTTATTATATTGCACATTTACACAAATAGTATAAAAACTATTTAAAAATGAACGTCATTAAGACTTTGTTCTTGATCTTTTATTTCCGCTTTAAATTGGTCAAGATTTGTTTAGATCACCTATTCACCCCCCTCTAGGCGATCCTTGCTAACCACCTCATTTAGGACTCTTTTTAAAGTTGGATTATCTAGATGCACAATTTTTTGAAAGATGTCATGAATCTAAGGCCTGTAGTAGGAAATTTTTGCTAATCAGATTGCTAAAACTAAGCTCCTTAAAAACTGAATATGGTGGTAGAAAACTCTTGGGCCTTGTTTAATTTAAGGATAGTTATTGATTTTTCGTTTTCAATCTCCAAAACTGATGTGTTTGGTAAGAATTCTCACAAATTGTTTTCACTGAATCTAGCGGAAAGTATTTTGTCATTTTTAGCTTGACAATCTGAAAACTCTTTTTTTTTTATATAGCAACATTTTAGTTGTTTTCAAACCAAAACACGGGAAGTTAGTGGTGGACTTCAGTCAATCTGCCACTAGTCTGTCTACTTTATGCAAACCATGGCGTGTTCCTTCCGCAATAATTTTCATTTGCTTGGTGTGGAAATTCAATTTTAGCCACTAGTCTGTCTACTTTGTTACATCCTCCTCGTTTTCAATCAATCTGAGTGCCTAGCACTAGACTCGTCCACTCACTTATGCCAAGTGGATGTAGATAAATGACTTTTGAGGCCAAACAAGAGTCTCTCTCCAAAAATCCTCATACGCTATAAATCTCCTGTCAAGGAGGTGGCTCAACCACACCTGCATTACGCATCACATCTCGCATCCCTTCTTAATCTCCTTGCACATCCGTTCAGTCCACATCTGCTTTGAGTTATGCAACTCGTAGGCCTTATTTTTGGAAAGTTGCCATTTCGTCACTTTATTTTTGCCATTTCTATTGCATTGTGCTTTGTACGAGTCTCCTCGGCATCAAATGAAACCGACAAATCCGCATTGCTTGCATTCAAGGCTGGGATAACTAAGGACCCCCTCGGGGTGCTTAGTTCCTGGAACAATACAGTCAACTTCTGCCAATGGTACGGTGTCACATGCAGTCGCCGGCACTACAACAGAGTCACCATGTTGGACCTGAATTCCCAGAAGCTCTCAGGGTCCATCTCTCCTCACATCGGGAACCTTAGCTTCTTGAGGGAATTGTGGCTCTGTGATAACAACTTTTACCATGAAATCCCTTCCCAAATTGGGCGGTTGTCACGGTTACACTACTTATCGCTGGCCAATAATTCTCTCACTGGCGAAATCCCTAAGAATATATCAGGTTGCCTTAACCTCCTTTTCTTCAATTTGTTTCAAAACCAAATGAGTGGAGAAGTTCCTCCAGAGATAGGCTCATTGGTGAAGCTTCAGTATCTTCATTTAGGACGAAACAATCTAAGAGAAAGTGTTCCTTCTTCCATTGGGAACTTATCATCGTTGGAGAAGCTTTTTCTTGAATTAAATCACTTTGGCGGGAGTCTTCCTTGGGCTCTAGGCCAACTGACCAAACTAAAAAAACTTGGTTTGGCAGAAAACTGGTTGTCAGGTTATGTTCCCCCTTCCCTCTACAATTTGTCTTCATTAGTAGCATTAGACCTAGGAGTTAACCAAATACATGGAAGTCTTCCCAGTACAATAGGCTTTGGTCTCCCCAACTTAGAATTTTTCAGCATCCAAGCAAACCAGTTTGTTGGATCAATCCCTCCGTGGAAACCAAATAATGCCACACATCTACAGATACTTCAACTTGGAAACAACGAACTCTCAGGGAGTGTACCTTCGTTTGAAGGTTTGCGTAACCTTCGACACTTGAGATTGGAACTTAACCACCTTGGAAGTGGGGGATCTGGTGACTTGAGCTTCCTTTGCTCATTAACCAATATCACTTGCCTCACCTCTTTGCAAATTTATGATAATAGATTCGGTGGGCTGCTGCCGGAATGCATTGGTAATTTTTCCGTTACTATCAAAGGATTAACATTGGGCGAAAATCCTATTAGTGGTAAGATCCCTAGAGCAATCGGCAATCTTGTGAACTTGGAAGTCTTGGGGATGGACAACACCATTCTTTCAGGGGCTATCTTGTTTGCTGTGGGAAATCTTCAAAATCTAACATACCTGGATCTCTCCAATAACAATCTATCAGGGGTAATTCCATCCTCTTTGCAGAACAAGAAATTGCTTAAATTATATCTTAATGGGAATCACTTTCATGGGTACATTCCTTCCCATTTGGATAAGTGTCAAAGTCTTATGGACCTTGATCTCTCTAACAACAACCTCAGTGGTTCCATATTCCCAGTGATTAAAACTCTCCTCCATTTGAACTTGTCTCGCAACCATTTGAATGGGGCCCTTCCGGCGGAAGTGGGACAAATTGACCATTTAAATACTTTGGACATTTCGGGCAATATGTTCGGTGGTCAAATTCCAAGCACTCTAGGCGATTGCAATGCATTGGTTGTATTAGTAATGAAGGATAACCACTTCCAAGGATCCATTCCTCAATCAATTAGCTCATTAAGAAGCATTGAGAAATTGGATCTTTCCAATAACAATCTATCAGGTGAGATTCCGAAGTTCTTAGAGACATTTCACTTCCTAGAAATTCTGAATTTATCCTATAACAATTTTGAAGGCATGTTACCAACTGAAGGAGTCTTCAAGAATGCAAGTGCCACTTTTATTATTGGAAACAACAAGATCTGTGGAGGAATTTCGGAATTTCGGCTCCCTAAATGCATCTCTGGACGCTCCAAGAGCAAAGGAGTTGTTCGCAAACTGAAACTCAAGCTCTCTGTTATTTTTGGGCTTCTAGGGGTGGTTCTTGTTCTGGTTTTTGTGTATGTATGTTGGTTGAAGAAGAAGAAAGCACCAGAACCAACTTCAAGTTCCATAGCTGATACCTGGCAAAACTTATCTTATGGAACTCTCCTTAAAGCAACTGATGGATTTTCTTCAACTAATTTGATCGGTGTTGGCAATTTTGGATCCGTCTACAGGGGATTACTCCAGGAGAATGGGATTTACATTGCTGTGAAGGTGCTTAATTTGACGCATCAGGGTGCTCTGAATAGCTTCAAAGCTGAGTGCGAGGCTTTAAAGCGTATCAAACACCGAAATCTTTTGAAAGTACTAACAGTATGCTCGGGTACTGATTATGACGGAAATGACTTTAAGGCTTTGGTCTATGAGTTCATGGTCAATGGTAGCCTCGAAGAGTGGTTACACCCATCTCCAATACCAGCGGATGCAAACGGGCCTTCAAAAAATCTGAGTCTCATCCAAAGGATAAAGATTTCCATCGACATTGCTTTTGCACTGGATTATCTTCATAATCAATGCCACAACACCATAGTTCATTGTGATCTAAAGCCAAGCAATGTCCTTTTAGACGCTGAGATGGTTGGACATGTCGGTGACTTTGGATTGGCAAAGATCGTCCTTGAGTCCACTTCTCACACAAACACAAGTATGAGCTCAGCTGGTTTGAGAGGAACAATTGGTTATGTTGCTCCAGGTATCCCCCTTGTGTTCCCAGCCCCCTCATATAAAGAATTTGTTCATGGAAAAACTGTTGATACATCTTTTCACAACACTTTGAACTTCATTATGAGATTGTGCACCTACTATTTTCTCATAGTTCAACCATTTGTGGTTCTTGATTAGTGCAGAATATGGAATGGGAAGTGTGGTTTCTATTGAAGGCGATGTCTATAGTTATGGCATCCTCTTGCTAGAGATGTTCACAAGATTCAATCCCACGGCTGAGATATTTAAAGAAAACTTGAACCTTCATGATTTCGTTGAGGAAGCTTTGCCTGAAAGAGTCCTAGAGATTACCGATTCCATTCTAGTTCAAGAAGTAGAGAGCAATGCATGCCATAGCATAAAGAGCACAGCCGAGGATTGTCTGCTAATGGTCTACGGAATTGGGATCGCCTGCTCAGTTGGAGTCCCAGGAGAGCGAATGAGCATCACAGGTGTAGCAACTCAACTACGTTTGATTAGGGACAGACTTTACGCAGCTGGCTTACGAGATAGGTGATATACTAAAGCAGTAAGTTTTCTAGTACATCCTACAAATGCCTAACTGAACCATTTATGCATAGACAAGCACGTGACTGCTCGCATATTTTTTTCAATATAGATAAACCCAACTTTCTGGTAATGGGAAGACGAAGCCATGGAGGTAACAGAGTCATCATGCAGAACCAAAGTGGGACAGATGCTTTTCTAATGTATCGTGATGTTGGTCGCGAGGTTGGTGAATTGAGCTCTTATATAGACTATAAATAGTTTAGATCGTGAAGGACACAGGTGTGTTTCAATGTTTCTTTTGAAATGAAAGTTGACGTGGGAGAAGAGAACAAAGTACTTGGAATGTTGCTGTTTTCTATCAGCGATACTGTATATTTGGAATTTGAAAAGAAAGGCATGCATGCGAGCCTGTATATGTTTCATAAAAGCTACGCAAGCAAGTTCATTTATCCTTATCTTCTATCATGCTAGTTATAAAGTTCGATCTATTAATACTAGTAAACATCATGCTTGCACATCCCACACCATGTCCACGTCTATCAAAAAGGACGGCCGCATGAGTTTTCCTGGGTATTAGTGTGTACAATGCAATCTGGAGTCCTACATTACCTAAATGCTCCTTTTGGGAGAGCAGACTATGTTATTCCATCGTCTCACCAAGCGGTAAGTAATGACTTTCAGAGACAAACAGAATTTAATGTACGAACGATGAGGAGACCAAACCATCATAATCAATGTCGCAACCTAAAATTTCCTCAGGCTAATGGATTATTAAGACTAAGCCTAACTCGGGCCCTCCCAAGCCCTACCAATTCACAACTTAGGGTTTAAATTTTTAACATGCAAAAGTTTTCATGCTTGGAGCCGCCACTAATCAATTTATGGTAGGTTGATTAGAAACCTAAATAAAACATAGGGAGATATGTTTTATTCCTACGAACCAGAGATTCTAAGCCCGGGGACTTGATTACGCTAGATCTGGTCTAACGCCCTTTCGGTACCTTTTCTTTTCAAAAATTTTTTGGCAGGCAGTTTGGATCCATTTCAACTTAGTTACTAACATGTGAGGTGTTCATGCGAGTGCGCAAACCACCAATTTAACACCCAGAAAGCATTAAATAAATTGCAAGTTTGGAAGAATTACTTACCTGGAAGCAACGTAAGCATCTACATTGTTAGCTAGAAAATCACATTGACACCCTAATATGATTTCTAATTAACAAGCAATTCACTCAATTTCTTTTTTGGATTTTCACTTATTTAAATGAAATCTAGCCTATATGCAATGACATGCGAAAATGACATGCGATTAATGCAACCTAGCATGCAAACTATATGTCGTGCGACGACGTGACCTATTTCCAATGACAGGACGAATGATTATTTTTGGTATTTTCTCAATTTAAATTCGGAATAATAAAAATACCTAAATTAACATGCAAACTATGATGACTTAATCTACCCTAGCATGATTTCTCTTTAGGATTTTTGTTAAAATTCGAAATAATGAATTACTTAAATTAAGAATACAATCTATCATAATCTATCCTAAAACAATTCATTCTTCTTTTCTTGGGATTTTCATGGAAATTCGAAATAATAAAATAACCTGAATAATCTATTAAGATTAGAATATTACTTAATTTAAACTAGGAAATAAATCATCTCAAGTCCTAATTTAAATTAAATAACTACTCTATCTTCTAGATATATTTAGGATTCCTAGACATGCAAAAACTCTAATTCAAATCTAATTAATATTTTTTTTGAATTTTCTGTTTATTTGAAAAAGGAAAGCAATTAAATAAACAAGGATAGCAACCACATTCAAAACGTCCACGGGATCCGCCATATTTGTTTCAAACTCGGATTAGGCACAAAAATCAAACTATCGGTCATATCTATAGGGTTATAGATATCGACGGAAAGCCGATTATTCAAATTTGGAAAGCGGATAAAAATCATTATCGTACCCAAGTGGTTATGGATAGGATAATAATTTTCCGCATTGCCGCGTATCGAACCTTAGGGATAAGGTCGGATAGTCGTCCAGATACGTTGCTAAATTAGGAAGTTTTCCTAATTTTGAATATTTAAAAATATTGCGGATATATCGAACATTATCCTAAGATATCTAAATATCCACATGATATTCACGAAATATTCAAACACCCATATTAGGAAATTAAATATTCTGAAAATCTCGGATAATGTTGAATTACCTAATTTGCAGATAATTCCCAAATTCAAATCGACTCGGGATCGAGTTTACGGATCGGGATCGGACTCGGACGACGGGCGACGCGGCGTCGGCGCGGCGGCTCAAGGTGGCATCCGGCACGTTGGTACAGTTCACGAACTTGCTGGATCGTGTGGACTTTCAGTTCGGTGGGGGTGTTCGGTGGCTTGCGTGACTCGGCGGTGATGTCCGATGGTGGCTCACGATGTGGTGTCTCGGCCAAAGCTCGCGGTGGCACGGCGGTGCAGCAGTGCTTGGGAGTTCTCCGTAAAACTGTGAACGTCGGGCTCGTGGCGCATCTGGACAGCAGCTTCGTGGCTATGGCACGCCAAAGTGGCTGGAGTTGCTGGAATGTCGTGATGGGGGCTTTGACTTTCGGCAACGAAGTATGCAAGTTTGCTCGGTGAAGGAGCGGAAACCGAGAGAGGAAGTCTTCGCTTGTGGCCTTCGTTGACCTACAGGAAAAGACTCGATTCTTCCCCCCCGCTCTCTCTTCTCAATTGTGACTGTGTCTTCTCTATTGTCAAGAAGCCACCCACTGATCACGATTTTTTTTCTCTCCGTAAGGTGCTCTCTCGGAATTGTGTTCTGAAAATTATGAGTCCCCCCTAAAATCCTGACCTAATGATGTATATATAACACTAATCTAGGTCAATTAGATGGGCTCTCTAGTCTTAATGGGCTTAGGCTTGGGCTTATATTTTAATTTAATTTAAATGGGCTGAATTAATTAAGGATAATGGGCTGAATTAAGCTCAAATTAAAACAACCGAGCCCGTTTGACTTGTAATTCCCGGCCCTTGCATTCCAAGCGAGCCGAGTCCCATTCGATGAAATTTAAGCTCGTTCGTCACCGCCGGTCCGATGCAAAATGCAATTAATCTAAAATGAATTTAAACTATATGTTATGCAACCTAGATATTTTTGTTTAGGGGTTAAAAATTTAATCCCTAATTTTCTATACAAATTACGACTAAATGATACGCCAAAATTTAGGTGTCAACACCGCCCCTCTTTGAAGGTGAGCTCGTAGAGGTTGCATTCAAAGACTAAATGATACCTAAATTTCAACCATGCAAATGCAATGAATGTTGTTTTTGTCGGGATTATGAGTCTCATTTTAAAATGCATTAAGAAATGATGCATGCTAACATGAGTGGAAAACATACCTGGAATTACTTACCTGACAGGAGTGAGATAGCGCAATTCGAGGCACGACTCGGACTTTGTATGTTGTTTGGCAAATGTCTGGGCTCATTTCCATAGGTATTGCCTGATATACGTTGATGAACTTCGGCGATCTGCAGTTAAGTCAAAACACACGAAGAAAGCTCGACATATCCAATCATCATCTGGATTCGTGAGAACAGTTCCAATCTTTACCAACTACCTATACATCTCCATAGGTGTTTGCAAAGATTTGGCCGCTTCACTTATACCTGCTCATAAGTGAATTGCGGGGAGAACTTTTGAAGTCAAGAGGATATTCCGACCTTTACATATACCTGCTCATATGCAAAGATTTGGCCGCCTCACTTATACCTGCTCATAAGCGAGTAGCGGGGGAACACCTGGGGTTGAAAGAATATTCCGACCTTTACATATACCTGCTCATATGCAAGGATTTGGCCACTTCACCTATACCTGCTCATAGGCGAGTAGCGGGGGAATACCTGAGATTTGGGGAGAATTCCGACCTTTACATATACCTGTTCATATGCAAAGATTTGGCCGCCTCACCTATACCTGCTCATAGGTGAGTAACGGGGGAATCTTCTCGAGATTGTATGAAAATCTGTGATTTGGTGAACAAAGGGGCTAGCCCAAGTGTTCAAGGGTTCCTTGACAAAGTACCTGGATATCATCAGAGGTACCTGAAAAAGTTTGATCAATAGACACCTAAACATCATCAAAGGCATCTAGAGATCGCAAAAATGATCAAATGTGGGTCCTGACGATTGCTCGAACAGGTTAGGGACACCTAGATAGTCATAGACATCCTAGGGATAGAGATATACGTACCTGGCGATATCTCCAACTCTGAAGGTGTGTCTCCTGTTAGACACGGATTTAAGTAACATGTAATATGCATTCGCACACTGTCAAGAACACATATACACATGCACTATGATTTTTGACTGATTTTCATGCACGATGGTTTTGTCAAATCGGTATTACAAACTCCGCTGGGGAACAATCATGACAAGACAATCCAAACTTACAAGTGGGTGTCTTGAAAATGCCGAATGAGGGACTTCCGATCTAAAAGGGCTTTCTCTCATTCTCATTGAAAAAGGCTGATTTATGAGAATCACTCCATCTCACCTTCATCATGTGGACAAGGGTCCGAGTATTCTCGCAAGCGGTACGACCTTACCAATCTGAGAGGTCTTTGTCAGGACCGTAACATGGGCTTGGTCAATGGCTTAGCAAAAGGGGACTCTTTGAGTCAAGGCTATTGAAAGAACAATACTCCGCAATCGTCTCCGGGTTTACAAGTCAAGAACCCTGCAAAACGAGATAGAAATGGACTTGCTCGCACTTCTTCGAGCTAAGCTTATAAACATCTGAATCCTTCGTTAGTTCAAGTGCCCTAATCTGAAGAGACTTTACAAGGGACGTAACGTAGGCTTGGCTCATGGGTAAAGAAATGAATGGATCATTAGGCTCAAAATGTATATAACTGGGGTGAATAAGTTGGTGATCATCTTGGCATTGTCACCGGTCTTCTTCTTCACCAGGAACTGTCTCCTCGGTAGATGCTCCATTGGCCTCGAGAGCTTATCACTTGACTTCTTAAGACTGTGGATAACCTTGACACATCTTAACATTTTCTACTCCGAAGTTCTCTTCTTTTTCTTCATTTTTTTTTTCACGGGCATTGGCCTTGCTTTTACCAGGCACACTGCTTTTTCATGCCCGCTAGTTTTTCTCTTTTTTTTTCTTTTTTTCATTTTTGACTTTTGACACACACTGTCTACGATGCATATATTGGCCAGCCACCCTTTGGCTTGTTTTGACCGAATGATTAACATTTGGACTTTCAGGGTCTTCGTCTTCTATCGGCGCTCCGGATATGCTGCGTGGACAGTGATGACTTTTGCCTTGCCCCAGTGTGGGCGATGATCACCAACTGGGTTTTTATGAAATGAAATTGCAGGCTCAAGTGGGCTATACAATGGATATAAGTGTGTATAGGATAGAGAAAGAAATGCTCTTCGTCATCCTAAGGCACTTGAACTTCGTGTGAATTCATCTGAAAAAGCAACACTCGAATATTGATGCAAGTGAGAGCAAGACAATCTCTATTCATTTTTCACCTTATAATGCTGACTTACCTCCAGTTTGCCCCGATGTGGGGTGGTTCTTGACAGGGGTAATTTGAAAGAATTTCTCCAAGTGTTTAGGCTCAAAGTGGCGAAACAAAGGATAACCTGTGGTATTTGGGATAGAGAAATGAACCGCCTTTCGTCACTTCGGTTGCCGTACCTTTTGCGAGATAACCCTTTACCTTACCGACATGGAATTTTTCTTCTCAACTCACTGGGGATTAGTGCATGGGACTATGTATAGGATAGGGCTTGCCTTTTATCATCCCGATGTACCTCATTCAACACATTCAATTCATTCCACATGATTTATCAGATTGTCTAAATAGACTTCTCCTTTGAAGTCAATGATACTGATCGACAAAATAACCATGCAGAAATTAAAGCCAATGCAAACATTCCATCTTTAAATTGATTGAAATCATTCATTCATAAGTGAAATGTTTGTGACTCAGAGTATAAAACCAAACACTTCAAAACTTTTGCCGCAAAAATTTAAAGCCAAGGCATACATTACATCTTCACAGCATCAGAGTTAACAGGCGTGGAAAACTCACGATCATCCACTTCTACGAGAACCAGGGCACCTCTAGGAAGTACCTTTTTGACCACGTATGGGCCGATGTAGTTTGGGGCAAATTTACCCCCAGGAACAGGAAAGACTGGCAGTACCTTCCTTAGGACTAGATCATTTACCTCGAAGTGTCTTTGACGCACTTTTTGGTTGAAAGACTTACCTACTCATGCGGCAACTGGATCGGGCGTTTCGTCTCACTCTCAGGGAGATTTGCTCTTATCTTTACTTCCTTGGGTTCCTCCGTATCACTCAGGTTAACAGTGATGGTTCAGTCTGAAGTAAGAACTTTGGACCTTTCATGTCGTTCTAGGCCACGTAGCATTTCTGAGGGACCCTCAAGATCATCGAGATCATCAAGATGTCATCGACTGAATATAATGCACCAGATTGGACCGTTCCATACTCTCGCGTGTCACAAGATTGCCCCTGAAACATAAAGTAAGGGATTCAGAAGGACAAACAGGGCTAAACATTGCATTTTAAAAAAAAAAAAATTTTGTTACTTTTTCGAAATTCTTTTCAAAAAGGTTTTAACACGAGGAAGCATGAAGAAGCCCAGGCCTCAGAATTCTCCTCGGACTATATTTTTCTTTTATCGGTTGGATATCATCACCGGGCTGGTTTGATGTACCTCAATATGTCCTCAAAACGAAAATAACTTGTAATTTCATTAATTATTTCAAAATGAATTACATTTATTGAATGGAAATTGCAACAATCAAATCCTAGAAATGAAAATGGAAAGCAGCGCCCGAAACGGGGCAAGTCCTAAAAAGCAGTAAAAATTCCCACGCAGGGGAGTGTACGAAAAAGTAAAAGTTTTACTCTTGTGGGCCCGTGCCCATTCCCTCTAACGGTCCTTCCTCGATAGCTCCAACGAAGAAATCATCAAACAGGGCAGTGATTCCATCCATTGCATCATCAGAATCTTCTGTCATTAAAGGTGTTGGATCATCCATACCTCCCCATCCATCTGGGATAATGTCACAGGGGGTAACATAGAAGCTTAGGGGCGCCGAGTATTTCACATAAAAATCGAACTTGCCGCTCGGTTGCCCCAAAGTGTCGATCACCTCTTTCTCTTCATGCATCATTCTTGCAGGGCCCGGAAATGTGGTGCGGATATGTGGAAGCAACCTACCATGCCCAAGCTCTCCATTGTTGTGGGTAATTCCATTCGGCTCTTCTTCGGATCGCTGTCTATTATATCCATCTCCTCGACCTCGACCTCGGCCGCATCCACGTTCATGTCCACGTCCCCTATTATTTGGCCCGCTTGACCCCTGGTATCCCAACCCAGTAGTGTGGGGCCTTCGAGAGACTTCCACCGATTGGCGGATACCTTGACCATTCCTACCAAGACCTTCACCCGAAATAAAGCCATGGGACACCATTACTCCTCCAACCATGACTGCAGCATTCGACACCTCAGGAATGGGCGGTGATGATCCTCTCGATGCATGTATGGTTGATACGAGCTCGAGCGACTGATAGCTTGATT